GATAGGCTGCTTGTTTTCTAGTTACCTGCGAGTCCAGTTTTCATGTTTGTTTGATAATTGTGGTTGTGATAATCATAATGGATATTAACATTTATGTCAGAGTGTGTTAGTACACCGGAAAATAAATACACAAATATGTAACTGTAGATTCAAATATGAACATTTGAAATGTTTGTACTAAATCAAAGAAAAGATTAATTACATTGAACAAAAACGTCCACACTACAGAGTAGGTTTATACATTGTATCTGGTATTAAAGTTATCACTCTGCCAAATTTCAAACAAGAACAACTTACAGTAGTCCCTACCTACATAAACTACTGGGAAAAGTTTGATGGGAGAATGGAACTGGACACTTACATATGAAACACGACACGACACACCAAGAGACGTCATATGGAACAACATTTTCTTACCTTTGATGTTTACAGTAAATACACTTGCATGTATTCTTTAGTGTGTTTGGTTTATGCATGATACCTGTAAAGTCCTGTTCTTTTTAACCTTTCAGTAAATGCTGAGTGTGGGTTGACTCCGAAATCATACTAAGTGTTATGTTGATTACCATATTGTGTGGGATAGAATTAAGGTCAATATGTTTACAAACTTGTCTTCAGTTCTAACATTTGAAAAAAACATCAGTCACAACTTACTTTTTTTTTAATTATATCTTACTGAATGATTAAACAACTGAAATGTCCTCGTCCTCTGTATGGAATTGAAGTGAATTTTCACTAGTACATGGAAATACTACAAAAACTATATTGATAGAAATCTGCTAGGAAAACTCAACCAGGTATTGGTTCATGTCAAAGTAACTCAATCTTTCATGTCATCATTTTTCTACAGGTTTGATATAATGGACATAATTACATGTTGCTTTGAAAAATGTTTATTTTTTTTAAAGGTGACAAAAGTTGACACTGGCATTCATAAGGGAAAACATAACAAGTCTATGTAATATACATTCCCTGTTATCAAAGCAAAGAAATTTGGAATGAAAATATCCAGAGTTGTGACACAAAACACTATCTTGTATCATTCCAATGACAAGGTAACTAGTCACCTAGAATTACAAGACTTGTATAGTGATATACTGTAAGTGAAAATATAAGTATTGAACTGTGCACAGACCAAAAAAACAAACTCCCTATGATTTACCCTTTAAAACAGTGCATCATGGGACAAAAGTTTGCATGTTCTTGGACCAGTTTGAAATATTTACTGCATTGTGTAACTTAATGTTTAGCGTGTCCACCCAGCTTCAAAGTTGGGAATATGGAATTTAGACAAAAGGGGCATAAAGTTGTTCCTGTTCTCAGTGCATGTATTCTTGTTACTTGCGTCCATTCCAGATTTGTAATTAAGCTCTTTGATGATATGTGTAATTATTAAACTTACCACTGTACATCATTGTATTCCAGTACTCTGTGCAATAAATTGAAATAGTACACTTTCACTTTTTTTAAGATTGTTTCATTTTGTAATACCCAATGAATTTACAGGCCAGACGTAAACTGGATCCCCCAACATGGAATATCAGTTATGCGAGATTGAAATAATAAATTCTGGCTTCTTTCTGTTACAAGTATGTTATATGGATTAACAATTGTGTGTCCAGAACAAGCTTTTCTTGGTAGGTCTGTTTTGCCGAGTGTGATTCAGTTTGCACAGCGCCCTCAAGAATTTAGACCCTAAATGAGAATATCCAACTACAGAGGGCAGCATACATTAACATGAAAGTGACCAACGAGACAACTTAAGTGTTGGAAATCGTATTTAATATGAAAATAGTACTATATGCTCATTACGCAATTCCATTAATAACTGCAATTTGTTTTGAATACAACAATAAATAAGTTCATAGCAGATAATCTAAAGAAAATTACAAGACTCAAAGCTGTATATGACCCAGTAATATTCTGATGGTTCTTCCACATGTGTTTTATTCAGTATCCATGCCACCTCAATGCAATTGACCTATCTATCTATAAACAATGTATAGATAGTGAACATCTTTCATCAACTCTGCAATTTACATTTTAATCTCATGGTTGTACCATCCAACGGACTGTAAAACTGAGTTTATGGTTAGAACTGTGGAATAACACAGGTAAAGCATTTGCCAAAAATCATGTACTTTGACAGTAATAGCATCCAAAAATAATTCATAATCAGTCTCTGTTTTATCAGGTCTTTATGGAAGCCTGTTGTTGGGTAAACAAATTTATCGGCCTGCAATGCAGGAACCTGAAATCTCAACTCACTGTCAAAATGATAGCATCAACATAACTATTTACAAAACTCTACAGCTATGATAAAGAAGGAAGTAAATACTCTTGCATTTCAATTGTGTAATTATAAATGTATTATACCCCACTTAATATGGTACAAATAAAATTTGGAAATACTAGTCTTATCACATATTGCTGAAGACATTATTTTAGTACCCTTACAAACAATATATACATGGCAAGATTGCATAAAAATGAAAACTAAAATGTATTGGTTAGGTAAATTAAAAAGCACTGCCTGCATACTGCATGTAAAATGGTACATCATAGCAAATCTGGAATTATTAAAAAAAATTTTAAAACAACTGCCCAGAAAGGAAATTGTAAAGAAATACAATGTTTAATCTATTAAAGTGAACAAGAGGCCACAAATCTTATTTTCTTTGATTCTAATGAATTCACTGTATACCTCAGAGCAGCATAGTCTGCAGCAGAATTATAATACATTAAAATAGAAGTAAAATAAAACCTACACAATGAATAGTTATTTAATGCCACAATGTTGGAGAGTTTTTGATTTTTCAGGATTGTCTCAAATGTTTTTTTTCTAGGACTAAACTAACACAATATGCCATTTTCAGCATCAGGGAAAAATACAAAGTTTATTCGAAATTTTGTTTGTGTCTATTTTGTATAGAAATAGAAAGGTTGCCAAATA